ATCTGGCCCAAAATCGCAGTGGCAGATACAGGGCTGGGACGAAGACAGGTGCGTCCCAAACACAGCGCCGAAGCCGCAGGCCCCTGAGTATGCAGTGAGCCTGTCAAGCGCCCACTGCATCCCCTGAGCCAGGATGGCTGCAGAGAGCCAAAGAGCCCGGCCTCCCGTTCCCCGAGGAAAACCGTCAAGGACTGAAATACTTCAGCAGCAAAGCGTTAGCAGGAGTATCTAATGGAGATCGGACAGGCCAGGGTCACTATGCGTTTGAAGCCCTGAAACCCCGTTTGTCTCGCAATTAAATCAGAAAAGTAGTTGCAACGCTGAACAAGAAACGGCTCGGCGAGGCGGGCCCGCAGGATCCCTGAAACGGGGCCGAGGCCAGAGAGGACTACGTGGAGCTTTCCTGAACAAGAAGAACAAAAGCCTTCTCTACAACAACGGCGGGGCATCACGGAGACCTCAGGGTGATGACGGGCCCAGCAGGGCACGCGGGTGCGCGTCCTCCAGCGGGCCCCAAACGCGCACATGTCAAGAATGAACGGCATGGCGTCCTGGGCCCCGAGCAGGGCCTGCAGCGCCGGTGTGGACCTGACCCACGAGGACCCCGGGTTCTCGAGGTAGACAGGGGTCCCAAGCGAGCGGCGCGGAGCGATGAGGCCGAGGGCGAACCTGAGCTGCTGGTTCCCGAGGCCGACGGCCGCCTGCGGCCTGGCTCCCAGATCGGGAAGCAGATGTGGTTCTTCGAGCGAATGCAGCACCAAGAAGACTTCGGCGGCCGAGCTACACAGCATGGCCACCCAGACAGCTGAGGCCACGCCACCCCGCGCCCATCGTCGGAGGGTCTGACGGACGGTGGAATTGTCGAGACCGAGCCATCGTTTTGAAGTAAAATCCATCGGCAGCGCGGCGATGCCTCGGCGCCGCAACGCCGCCGATAGGCGGCCCGTCCCGGCGAACAGCTCCAAGGCGGTGGTTCGAGGGGGGCCCTTCTGACGTTTGAAACTGTCATGAACTTCTCTGAGGAGGTGCCGACGAATGGAAGACATCGACGGGCCCCCTCGATGGGCCCCGCGAGATCTACCGCCCGCTCGAGGTCAGGCACAGCGCGGGCAGCGGCGCCCCGTGCAGGAAGACGCGAGCCAGCGCGGCGTCCATGGCCTTGCCGAAATCGATCACCTGCTGGCCTACACACTGGAGCTCGGTGATGATCCGAGCCTGCGTCGCGTGGCGCCTGAAGTTCTTGTCGGGGGCCCACCCCCCTCGCTGCTGGACGTCGAGAGCGGCTCGCATCTTCGCCAGGTGGTCGCCCGACGCTCCCCCGCGACGCAGCCCGCAGGCGCTCGGCCCCAGCGCGCAGGCCGCCCCCCTCATGCTCAGGCCGAGCGAGGCGGAAGGGAACGACCACAGCCGTGACCTCCCCGAAGGAGCTCGCCGCTGGCCCGAGGAGCGCTGGCACCAGGAAGACGAAGGTGTCGATCACCACCGTGATGTCCTAGAGGTCCGTCTTCTCTGGTCGGTCAGGCTCGCCTGGATACAGCAGAAGCGCGGCGCGCCCCGAGTCCTCGGCGCCCGCTGCGACGGGGGGGGCGACCTGCATGGCCGTCGGCAGGTCGCACTCGGTCGACCTCAGGTAGCGGGCGAAGCTCAGGATCATGGCGATCGTCGGCTCGACCTGGCCGCGGTGGAGCATCGCGCCCGCCGGCGCGCCCGACGGCAACCAAGGCAGCGGCGTGCGCATTGTGCAGGGTGCGCGCCCCCCCCGCCCCGCAAGGCCGCGGGGGGCGCGGCGCGGCGCCTGGCCCCCCCAGCGGCTGATCGGCGGCTGGAAAAACTTCGGCGCGACCAGGAGGCGCGACGCGTCGTCCACGCTGTGCCGGTGGAAGTGCAGGCAGCCGAAGTAAGTCACCACGATCGCGACCAGCTGCTACCAGCTGTTCCAGTCCAGGTGGAGCTGCGAGCACCATCCGATGAAGGCGCCAGCCCTCCTCTGGTAGTCGGCAAGCGTCATCCTGCTGACCGACCGCTGCTCGAGGTAGGTGATGCTCATCAGGGGGCACCCCCGCAGGGCGCCCCGCTGGCGGGCGGCCGCCGCCTGCGGGAGAGGAGCGGTCGGGACGCCCGCTCCAGCAGCCAGGGGGGCGAGCTGGAGCTGCGGCGCCCGCCCCGTCGGCATCGGGGGCCCGGCCGCTCGGCCTCGCCCCCCCGCCGATGCCGCGTCGACCACGGGCGCGATCACCCAGGTCATCGGCCACCTCGCCAGCAACCCCCTTGATGTAGGCAGGGCTGCGCGAGAAGGGGCATCGGCAGGGTTGAGCTCGCTCGGGGCCCACCTCGCGACGATGTAGCGCCTGTAGGCAGCAGCGCGAGCGCAGATCTATCGCAAGACGCTGCGCTGCTGCGGCGAGGAGCACGTGGATTACTACCTGGTGGCAGGGTCGCAGCGTCCCAAGGTTCAGGCCGGCTCTGTCGTCCACGAGCAGGTCGAGGCCGCGAGGGCGACCGGCTTCGTCGGGCTCGAGCTCGATGGGCATCGCCACTCGGCGCGGGTCTCTGCACGGCGTGCCCGGCGACTCCGGCGCGCGAGTGAGGAGCGCAGATCGTCGTCGGCCACTGCGCTTGGGTCATGCTGCTCAAGAGGTGCTTCTTGACGATCTTCGACGATGTGTGCGCAGCGCTGTCTCTCTGGCCCTCGCAGCGGCGCGAATTGTGGCACGCTTGCCTGCTGCTGCCCCTCCTCGTCGTCTTCGCCAGTGCGGACTGGTGCGACGAGAACACGGCCAGCGATGCGTCGGGCCGGGGCTGCAGGGGGCGCCGCCGCCGCCGCGGCCGCGAGGCGGCGGCCGAGATCGGGCGCGCCGCTGAGAGATGGCGATGCCTCTTCGAAGACGCGCCCCGCGCCCGCGAGCGCGCCCTGGGGGGCGCTGACGCTGCTGCGCTGCTGCGCGATCCTGGGAAGCCGCCGTCGGACGAGGCCGAGAGCTGGGACAAGTCGTTCGGCGAGGTCGACCCCGACCTCCTCGTCGGGGATGGCCGGGCCATCGCGCACTCCTTCTCCTGGAGGGGCCCCTTCGACATCTGCCGCCCCGAGGGGCTCGACATCTACCGCGCCGAGGGCCTCGCTGGAGGCAGGGGGCTTGGGCCCCAAGAAGACGCCCAAGCTGCGGTCTCGCACCTGCTGCGCGGGGGCGACGCGTGCCCGGGCGAGGGCGGCCGGCCAAGTCGCACTGGCGCAAGCGCAGCGCCCGGGGCCAGCCCGCGGGGAGGAGGGCCGCGAGCTAGGGGGGGAACCAGTCCGACGCGTGGATCCCGACGCCATCCAGCTGAGACACGCCAGCGAGCCCAGCGCAAACGGGCGGCAGGAAGAAGAACTCGCAGAGGTCTTCGGCGACCTGCATGGCGAAGAAAAACTCTCGAGATGTCGCCGCTGCTGAACCAGGCGCCGCCACGGCCCTGCGCACCCACGCGTGCAAGCGCGCTGTCGCTGGGCAGCTCGGTGCAGGGGGTGGCTTGAACCGCGTATTGTAAAGTCGCGCGCGTCAAGATGGGCCGCTGCTGGCCCGACTTCTCGGCGACCGCGAAGACCCCCGGGGGCCCGCGCCGACCGCGAGCGGGAGAGAGGCGCAGCGCGCCCCTTCCCAGGAGATCGCCGACGAACTTCCCACAACTGGCGGGACGACGTACTTTAGGGTCAATGTAGGGTTGGGCAAATCCAAGGTCTCGCCGGAGAGCCGCTGCCTCAGCCGGCAGGCGAAGCGCGCGGGCCTTCCAGTCCTGCAGCCATATGAGCGGCCAGCCTCCAGAAGTGCGCCATGAAGCGGAAGCGTCGCCGGCGCGGAGCCGCCGGCAGGCCAGGGCACCTGGCCCTTGCTGCAGGCAACCACGTCGCCACGCCCAGCGGAATTGAGCGGGCAACTGGAGCAGAGGTCGGCGAGAGCGCGCATGCGGGAGATGTCGGCGGGCGGGCCGCCGAACTCGACGTGCTGGGCAGCGATGCAGTCGAGCGATCGCTGCTGCGAAACGGTCGGTCGCTTCCGAGTCGGAGGCGACCCTCCACCGCCCAGCCAGTTAAGCGCCGCGATGCTGTCGGCGGCCCAGTCGACGCGAGCCCGCGCGGCGGCGCCGCCAGCAGCGCGGCGTGGATCGCCACGAAGAAGAAGGAGAAGACGATGAAGAAGCGAAATGGGGAAAACGTTTCGCTGGCGACTGACGGCCATGGCGAGAGAACCGCGACGTCAGGAGCGAAAGGCCAGAAGGGGGGCCCTCCAGGACTGCCGGGGCCCTGGCGACCGCTGCGAGCACCGTGGCGGGCTAAGACTTGCCAGCTTTGCCCGCGCCACCGCTCTGTCCGCCGCCGCGGCCGCCAACGGGCGGGTCGGGCAGCTGCCGCTCCTCGCGCGCCTTGCGGCGCTCCGTGGCGATGGCCGAGATCCAGTCGGCCAGGGCGGGCGCGACCATGGGCCCGCGAGTCGACTGCGCCCCCAGAATGGAGAACTGCACGTCGCCTCCGCTGCCAAGACCTCGCGAGCGGACCAGCTTGTCCTTGTGCCGTTCTGCGCAAAACTGGAGCTGCCTGGCCGCGAGCTCCATCGGGGCCAGGTTCGAGCCGTCAACTTGGTCACGCAACTGGGCCGCATGCAATGTATTCGAGAACTCGCGGTGCATCGCAACGATCGGGTCGCCCAGTGGCACCGCCGAGCCGAGAGCCGCCTTCCAAGCGAGATGATGCCCCATGGGCGATCCGCCGTTCCCCACCTTTTAAGTCGCGACCCAGCGGTGGGCGCACGGTCCTGGCATTGGCCAGCGGGGGAAAGAGGTGGGACGCATAAGCTGCGCACTGTCCCGGTACGCCCTGTGCCGCTGCCCTTGTCCGTCGCGCGCGGTGGCGAGCGCGCGGAGGTCGCCGGCGCCGACGCCTCCACCGCCGCGCGGGGCTGGGGGGGCGGACGCGGCGGCCGCGCCGTCAGGGCCAGCGCCAAGAGGTCCAGCCACCGGCGCCGCAAGCCCGGCAAGCCCGCCAGCTGCGGCGGGGGCAGGCGCACCTCCTGCGGGGACATCGGGGGCGGGGGCAGCGGCGGCGGGGGCAACGGCGGCGGCTCCAGGCGCAGCGACGGGAGCGGCTGCGG